ACTGGTAGGTGAAGCCTGGTCCTGGGGCTAGTACCAGTCTACTGGCAAGCAGGGTCATGTTCTGAGGTTTGGCTGCAGGCCCAGGGGTCCCAGAGCTGGTGGCTGACCACTGGTGGGTGGGGCCGTTTCTTGACGCAGCTGGATACAGTGTCTCGAGTATCCCAAAGCTTGTTTTGGGCTACTAGTGGGCAGGGCCAGGTCCCAGCTGGTCCCAGGGCAGGTGCTGGCCTGCTGGTAGGTGGGCTGGGTCCAGAGGCTATGGGGCTATAACTGTCCTGTGACTGGTATTTGCCCTTTGGTGGGTGAGGCTGGTCCTGAGGCTAGAGCAGGATCAGTGGTGGGTGGGGTCAAGGATTCTGGTGCCGTTTCCTGCCCACTGGTGGATGGAGCTTGGTCCTGTGGTCTCTAGCTGTGGGTCCCTGGGGGTTCCAGGTCTACTGCCTTTACACTGGTGTGTGGGGCCAGGTCCTGGGCCCACCGGTGGGCAGGACTGGGTCCAGGGGCAGCTGTGGGCTCAGGGGATCTTAAGACAGCCTATCTGCTGGTAGGTGGGGCTGTGTCCCTGCCCAGCTAGTTGTTTGGCCTGAAGTGCCTACAGGCTGGTGGGCAGGGGCAGGTTTGAGTCCTGAGGCTAATAAGCTAGAGGGAGGATGGCAAAATGGTGCTGGCTGGCACCAGTGTCCAGGTGGTAGAAAAAGCTCCCCACAATGGCTGCTTTCAGTGTCTGTGTCCCCAGGGTGAGCTGCAGTTGCCTCCTGCCTCTCCAGGAGACTCTCCCGAGCAGCAGGTGTGTCTGACCCAGGGTCTGTTCATTACTGCTTCTTCCCTGGGTCCTGGAGCATGTGAGATTTTGAGTGTGTCTCTATTTAGGACTCTAGGACTAAATTAGAGACTTTAGGACTCCTGCAAGTAAGCCCTGCTGGCCTTCAAAGCCAAACGTTCTGGGGGTTCATCTTCGTGGTGCAGGACCCTGGGCTGGGGAGCCCGATGTGGGGTCCAGACCCCTTGCTCCTTGGGGAGAGCCTCTGCAATTATAATTATTCTCCCATTTGTGGGTTGCCCACCTGGGGATATGGGACTTGACTCCACCCCTCCTACCCATCTCGTGATTCTTTCTATTCTTTAGTTGTAGTAGATCTTTTCTTGTAGGTTCTGGTATTTTTCATGGTTGTTCTGTAAATAGCTGTAATTTTGGTGTGTCCATGAGAGAAGGTGAGCTCAGGGTCTTTCTACTCTGCCATCTTGGCCCATCTCAACCCACCGGTTTTAACATCTTGGAAGGTATGGAACACTGGCATCCAGCACTGATAGGCATTTTTGCCTCAAAACTTGAACGTTGGTACAAGACACTTCTCAAGGCAACAAGGTTGGCTTTGGAGCAAAACTTTTCTTATCCCAATTCAAAAGCATCTTCTTCCTGGCCTTGGAATTAAACATACAGATTTGCTTTTTGGCGCTATGCCAATACTGGCTGCATCTGCTGCTTTTAAAAGTTCTGGGAAAAGTATCATGCTAGGTGGCATATTCTATCACCAAAATGTGAATCAATTTAGCAGACTGCTTTCCAGAACTATACTAGCACATGAAGGGTGAAGAGGAATTTCCACTTCTAGGTGTAATTTATTTCACTTATAATTTCTAAAGACCCTAAGAATTAAGCTAAGACTAACTTTGGCATATTAAAACTAGGAGAAATCTTTGGATCATCTAATCCAAAGTTTTTTAAACAAAGGCCCAAGATAAAGTAATTCATTGGCAACCACAGAGCTAATTAATCCACTTGGCAAATTGTCATCTTGCCCCATAAAATCTATTCTGATCTTTTCTAACTGGCCTTCACTGGGGAAAAATGTAACTTTTTAAGGCTTCTCAGGAAGAGGCTAATTTATATTTTAAACCATTTTAAAAGTGAGAAAATGAGGAAATTTTCATGTAATTTAGCAATTTGCTACATTGCCCCTTCTTTATGGGAAATTGGCACTCTGAGTATAAAGAGAGGAGAAAGTATCTGTCCTGTTTTCCCTATAACCTTGTCTGGAGCTAAACATCCCCTCAAGGTCAAACTATCTCCCTCCATGAACAAATGCATTCATGCTTTGGGGATCCAAAGAGAAACAGGTCCTTTCTTTTGAGAAGCCCATAGTCTAGACAGGAGACCAGTTGCATTTGTAAACAATATTATAATTCGTATGGTAGGTACGAAAGATCTCGACCAGAGCAGGGGGGACATTTGTTGCAACTATCACTCAAGGTTTCAGTGTTACATTCAATCTGGGCTGTCAAAGGCTCCCAAGGGCAGCAGCAGGGAGATGCTATTTGGAGCAGATAGCAAGTGCAAAAGCATAGAGAGAGAGGACAAACCTATGTATGTTTAGGGAACAAATAATGAGATGTGACAGACACTTAGGATGCTTGGGAGAACATGGCAAGAGATGAATTGGGAGGAAAACATGACTTTATGAAAAATTCAAAGGGGCCTGTACCTTTTCTTGTTAGCAAGAGGAAACTCTGAAAGATTTGTTTTTTAAAGAAGGGAGTGACATGGTCTGTTTTAAAATAATAACAGCCTGTGAGTCTATAATTCTTATACAACTTATTTAACTCCTTACAGTCCTGCAATGAAGGCTCTATAATTATGTACTCCCATCCAACAAATGAAAAGCAGAAGGAAGCTCAGTAACCAGCTTAAAGTCGCAGCTCATAAGGATCAAACCTGAGCAATGTGGCTCAAAAGGCTCACTCATCATGACCCTATTAGGCAGAGCGGAGAATGGGCTGTGGGAGAAGTAGAGGGAAAGATAAATTAATGTGCTGCTTTGAGTCTAAGCCAGTGTTTCCCGAACTTACCATTCACTTCCTACCTTTACACAACTTCTGCCATCTGGGAACCACTTTTAATGTGTTTTTAAATGAACTCATCTCTTTAAATTTTACAGGAAAACCTGAGGATAGCAACAGAATACCCTAACAGGTATAAAAGTTAGGATGGTTCATGGCCCCAGAAACAAAAAGCTGTACCCAGAGTTGGATGGTAGAGAAGACGGGACATGTCAAAGCAGGGCAGGCAACAGCAGTCTGAAGCGGGGCCCAAAGGGTGGACGAGCAGCAAGAAGGTAGTTACTGAGAAGGCCTTGAACAAGATGGCAGCTTCAGCACAGGGAGGAAAATCTGAACCAGGGCAGTGAGTCTGAGGTACTTACATGGACAGCGGTGTGAGGGGTTTGTGGCAGAGTGAGGCTGAGACTAAAGAAAGGAGCCCTGGGGCCTGAAAGGAGGAGTCCAAGAAGCAAGCAGAGGCATGAAGTATGACTGATGGGGAGGCCCAGGCTGGGAGCCAAGAATAGTGCTGGGATATTTTAGCTGGTGAAAGAGGACAGCAGGGTGGGGAAAGGAGGGGTTGTTTAGGGGGTAAGGTAAGAATTCCAGAGGTGAGAGCAGAGGGTAGGTGGAGCCGAGGAAGGACTGCAGCAGCGCGACTCGGGGCACAAGATATTGGGGCAGAATTGGCTTGGGCACCCAGCCCCACCACGTTATATTAGCTTCGGCTGTTCACAGAACAGAGCATCATGATTTTCAGTGTTTGAGAGAAAATCGATGGAAAAAGTTGGCAGTACTTGACATGTACTTGCATATTATATTTTGCAGGTAGTCCATGAGCCTGGATCCTGAACACATATGAGACAAACCTGTCACCCATCTACCACCAGAAATCAGCTCTAAATCTCCAGTGGTAGGCACCACCTTCTGGGAAACACTTGTGTAGGCAAAGCATGATAAAAGCCTGAGGAATGCGATACTTGGAGGAAATTGCCAAGTTTCTAGAAGAACACTTGGGTTATCATCATTATTCTGTTTCATCTTTTTACCCTCCATGTTGCCTAGACATGAAACTTCGTATGTAACAGGCACTCAAATATTTAGTTACAATATTGTAAGTGGTTGAAAAGACATAAGTAAAGATGAGTCTTCTGAGGCACACTGTAATAGTAAGGATTCCACTCATGAACTACAAGGGCAAGGGGAGGGTATCAGACTAGTTCTGGTAGAATGTTTTCCCTCACAAGAAGGGATGATTTTTCAGATAGCTGATAGGCCATCCTAGCTCACTGATAACTAGAAAGGCCTTGACGCTTTAGATAATGCAGGAGAGTGAGAAGAAAGAAAATTACAGATACTGTAGACAAGGCTTAATGTTTCAAGAGCCACTCCAGATCACAGGCCCTTTTCCACTGCCTACAAAATCACTTATGTCTGAGCAAAATATGTTCCCCTATAAAGGAACTTTAGAAATTGTGGCCAACAGGTCCTAAGGAGACCCCAGTGATTCTCACTTTCTGGCATTCACACCCTTGTATCCTACTTCTTACGTGTGGGTAGGACCTGTGACTTGCTTTTAACCAAAAGAATATGGCAAAGGTGATAGAAGTCATTCCTGTGATCATGTTATGATTATGTTTTATGAGACTCCTTCTTGCTAGCAGAGTCTCTCTCTTTCTCCTGTTAGCCTTAGAGAAGCAAGCAGCCAGGCTGTGAGCTGTCTATGGAGAGGGCCAAGTAACAGGGAATGGCGGGCAGCCTCTGGTCGCTGAGGGTGGCCAATGGCCACAGCTGGCAAGAATCTAAAGCCCTCAAACCTAAAGTTACAAGGAAAGAAATTATGCCAACAACCTGAAAAGAGTTTAGAAGCAGAATCTACCCCCAGTCCAGCCTCCAGATGAGACCACAGCCCAAGCCAACACCTGGATTATAGATTTGTGAGACCAAGGGCACAGGACCCATCTATGCTGTGCTCAGACTCTTGATCCACAGAAACTATGGGATAAATAATACATGTGTGCTGTTTCAAGCTGCTAAATTTACAGTAATTTATTATACAACATAGAAAACAAACAAATCTTAATATAAAAAAGTTTAAAAAAAGTAAAAAAAAAAAAAGTGAAAGGAATATTGAATTGTTGGCCATTTGGGATATTTATTAATGAAGATCAAGCATCCAAAGATCAGTCCTCAATGCTCATTTCCATGATTTTAAGAGTTGGTCCTTCCATGTCCTGATTACCATCTTTGACACTGCATAACTGAACAGATGGGGAGAGTGCTGTGCTAAAACAGCACAATTCATTTGAAGTCTCAACTTTTTCACTGTCACTGTCTCCTTCAATGACATTCACAGAAGTTTCTTGGTCTAGTAAACTGTCTGACATACTTACATTTTTTTCATCCCAAACTGAAGTTCCAAGATTCGTTTCATCATTTACCTGTTGAATTATAACCCCTTCTGAATACTGTGATTTACAGACAGGCAGGAAAAATTCATTTGGTGAAGAGACTATCTTGTTCTCATCCTTTGGAACAGACAATAACATAGTCAAAGCTTTTTGGTATTCTTGACGTTCCTGTTGAATGGCTACATCTTGTTCATTTTTATATTCATTTTGTTCTGAATTCTCAGCCTTTTCAAAATCAAGTAAATGCAACATACCAACATCATCTAGCATTACTGAGTTTTCCTTGGATACGCAGCCTAAGTCCACCTTTAGGATTTGTAGCAGGTGGCGCATTTTTCCCTGGAATTAAAAAAAAATACAAGAATAATAATATTAATTAAGCTAGTCAAATTGAATTACTTTTGTCTGCAGTGCTGCTAACCTCATACTCCTTCTTCCACATTCTGCCCGCACCCCTCACCCCAAGAGTACACAAAAAAGCATAAGGGAAAAAAAGTGCTTGCTTTTAATGCATTGTTTGAGATTATGGTATAACTTTAAAATTCTTTCTATATTAGAAATTTTCTAATGAAGTTCTAAAGACAACAAACCTCCTCCAAATGATGTTTATTTTGTTTTATATGTCTCTCAAACAGTCGTTCTAGAAACCTACAAATGATAAATAAAAATGTTAATGTCTCAAAATCAGAAAATCAACTAAATATAAAATAGCCATACAATAAATAAACTACTAAGGGTTGGAAAATATGTTTTAGATTACCCTTTTTCTTTCCAAAGATAAACACTAATCCTTCCCTGTTCTGTCAAGTTCTCCAATTTGGAAGCTAGTATGGCTTCCACTATATTTTAGTTATGTAACAGATGCCAATGTTTCTTCTAAAAAGACTGCATGCTACTTACATTTCTGTTAATAAAATATCTTCAGTGAGGTTCCACCCCCCCACACACACTAAAAGCTCTTTATCTTTTTTCTCTCACACACATACACAAACATCAAAAGCCTTACCCCTCTTTTTCACATTTACAACCCCCCAAAAGCAAACCCCTAAAGAAAATTCTTTACAAAGAATTTTGTAAAGAGTTACCTTACAATGCTTCCAAATTGTACTTGAAAAAAATTCCACTCATAGCAAATTCACATAAAAACCTAAAGTTATCACTTATTAAGCACCACTAAGTGTTAGACATTTGTGCTGGACACATAATAATCATTATACCTCTCTGATCATGACCAATACTGGGAGACAAAGGTATTATAAAACCCATTTTAAAAGATGAGAAAACGACATCACTAAGATGATGGTTTCCTCTCCCCTAAGGTCACAAGCAATTAAGAGAATTAAACCCAGATATGTCTGGCTCCAGACACATTCTTTCAACTATACCATGCTTGTCTAGCTATCACAGGAGTATATCAACCGGTTTCATTTTACCATTTGTTACTCTCAGTGAAGTTATGAGCCAATCTTAGATTTAGTATTCTGAATTATTTGAAATGTTTAAAAAGTCCAAGAAATCTGTATTCTGTATTTTACAACTATCATTAATGTTTGGACCATTCACTTCTGGGCACTGTTCTATGCATATATATTTCTTTACCAAAATTGGGATTACACAATACATACTGTTTTGATACCTATATTGTTTTCTCTAATCAACTATATATTTTGAACATCTTTATGCAAGCAATAAATTCACTTCTACAACATCATTTAAAATCTCTGAACAGAACTTACTATTATATTCTACAATTTATTCAGCTGAACCTTTACTATTCAACATGTAGGTTGATTCCATTTTTTGGTGCTACTATAAAAATTGCCATAATAAACAGCTTTATAATCTAAAAGAAAAATGAGTTTTTTAAGCATAAATACACATTTTTCATGCCAACCATTTTTGTTTTTGTTTTGGCTTCTAACATTTGCTTTATTGTTCTTATTTACAGTTGGTATCAATGTTTTTGCTGTGGTAGTGGTAAAAAGAACACATAAAATTTACCATCTTAACCAATTTTTTTTTTTTTTTTTTTTGTGGTACGTGGGCGTACCACCATCGTGGCCTCTCCCGTTGTGGAGCACAGGCTCCGGACGCACAGGCTCCGGACTCGCAGGCTCCGCGGCATGTGGGATCTTCCCCGACCGGGGCATGAACCCATGTCCCCTGCATCGGCAGGGGGACTCTCAACCACTGCGCCACCAGGGAAGCCCCATCTTAACCAATTTTAAACCTACAGTTCAGTGGCATTACGTATATTCACACTGCTGTGAAACTGATCAATAGAACTTTTTCATCCTGCAAATCTAAAACTCTAAGCCCATTATGCAAACATTCCTTTTTAACATAAAGAGGTAAACAGAATTACTGTAAAAAAAATTCAGGTCTTTTTGGTGTAGCTTTTTATACTAATAATGAAAATGTTCGCTTTAAGAAACTTCATATAGAAATAGAAATAACTCATTAAAAATGTCTGCACTTCACATATTATTATGAAAGGGAAAGCATGTAGCATATACATAATGGGGTCCTATGATACATATCATAAAGTTTTATCTAAATGAATTTCAGCTAAATAAATGTATAAGCTGGCTCAGGACCACACAGTTTCCTTAAGATATACAATACTAATCTGGTTTTGCAAACTTCCCCTTTCACTCACAGTGTGCAAATGTAGCCTTTAATTTGTCCTCACGTTACTAGTAACAGTTGTAACAAAAAAAAGCTTGCTTTTGATTCTCATGACAGTTTCAAATAGTAAAAAGAGATGATGGATCTTTGCAAAGAAACAGCAAAATTTAGTTTACTAGTCTATTATGAACTAACGGATATAACAGTATTTTTTTGGCTTGTTTCTTTGTAGACTGTATGGGATTTTTACATGGGTGATAATGTCATCTGTGAATAAAGACAGTTTTATAGTTTTCTTTAAAATATGGATACCAGGGGCTTCCCTGGTGGCACAGTGGTTAAGAATCCTCCTGCCAATGCAGGAAGCTCAAACCCGTGTCCAAGATCCCACATGGCTGCAGAGCAACTAAGCCTATGTGCCACAACTACTGAGTCTGTGAGCCACAACTACTGAGCCTGTATGCCACAACTACTGAGCTGTGCTCTAGAGCCCACAAACCACAACTACTGAGCCCACGTGCCACAACTACTGAAGCTCATATGCCTAGAGCCCGTGCTCTGCAATAAGAGAAGCCACCGCAATGAGAAGCCTGCACACCGCAACAAAGAGTAGCCCCCACTTGCTACAACTAAAGAAAGCCTGCACGCAGCAACGAAGACCCAACGCAGCCAAAAATAAAAATAAAAAAATTATTAAAAAAAAAAGAATCTGCCTGCCAATGCAGGGGACATGGGTTCGAGCCCTGGTCTGGGAGGATCCCACAGGCCACGGAGCAACTAAGCCTGTGCGCCACAACTACTAAGCCTGCGCTCTAGAGCCCGTGAGCCACAACTACTGACCCCACACGCCGCAACTATTGAAGCCCGAGAGCCACAACTACTGAGCCCGTGTGCTGCAACTACTGAAGCCCGCACACCTAGAGTCCATGCTCCGCAACAAGAGAAGCCATGACAATGAGAATCCTGTGCACTGAAATGAAGAGTAGCTCCCGCTCGCCGCAACTAGAGAAAGCCCACGCGCAGCAATGAAGACCCAATGCAGCTAAAAATAAATAAATTTATAACAAAAAATATGGATACCATTTCTTTTTCTTTGTGATAAATTTTTTTGAAATTGAGGTATAACTGCCATATATTATATTAATTTAAGGCATACAATGTAATGATTTGATATTTGTATATATCGTAAAATAATCACCACAATAAATCTAGTTAACATGTTAACATATGTAGTTACAGAAAATTTTTTTCTTGTAATGAGAACTTTTAATATCTATTCTCCTGGTAACTTTCAAATATACAATATGATACTATTAACTACAGTCATCATGTTGTACATTATATCCCTATGACTTGTTTATTTTATAAATGGAAGTTTGTACCTTTGGACTCCCTTCAACCATTTTGCCCCTCCTGCCCCACCTCTGGCAATTTGTTCTCTGTATTTAAGAGATATAACAGTATTTAATGAATAAACTCTCTATTCTTTTCTCTAACTCCCCAAACTGTGAACTCGCCTTAGAGTATGAATTAAACATCCTTTATAATTTACTATCAGTTATAAGAACAATTACATCAATTATAAGAACATGATCCCCTAAGAAAGCAATATAATTTTCATTTCCTAATATGTGGAAATAACTTTAAAAAATTAACACCAAATGAAGAGTATTTAATATATCATTCAACCACTATAATACAATTAAAAAAATCTAACCTGTTTGAAAATAAACCAAGTTTCAAAATTTCATCTGTTACATCTTCAATGAAACTCAGATACAACAGTTCTTCTTCACTGTGAAGGCAAAGTGATACATAGCATAAAAAAATCACTGCTTACTTACTCTGAAAACGATAGGAAACATGAGTACCTAATTAGAAATATCTGTACTATTACAAATGTACTTCCATCTCACATTATTATGAGGAATATTATAAAACAAACATTACATCTACCCTCTCAAATTATGCAAGGATATTTATTGATATTAAAGATGAGACAATATTCCCTAATGGAGTAAAACTTCATAGATGTCTGAAACATTCATCAGGAAGTAAAAAATAAGCAAGGATTAAACAAAACAGGACAGAACAGAAAGCAACCAGGGGCAGCGCCAAGAGGGCAACTAGGTGTGACCCACCGGGGGCCCGTGTTCTTGACAAGCATTTTAAATTTCCTCTGGCTCCTGACCAGGTCCAGCAGCAGAGGTGTGAGTCCCTCTGCATGGCAGAAGGGAAGGAAGAAAGTCATCCAGAGAAACAGGAACTTCAACGATGAAATCCTCTCCTGCTCCTAGGAGAGCATACTGTTTTAAGGTTGAGAAATTTACTGAGCAGAAAAAATTATTTTTTTTCCTCAAAAGGTTTGGAGATGAGGAAAAATATTCTAAAAGAAGAATCTGTGTATATAAATACAGTGATAATTTTTAATTACTTGGACACATTTCTCTGTTATCTTCTGAGTTAACTATATTTTATAAGTTATTACAAGAAAATTAGGGTACTATTATAGGTTTGATTTTAATTAGCTAAAAATCAGTGATGATAGAAAATGTATAGCAATTACTGAAAAAGTAGATACAAGGGAAAGA